AAAATCAGTATGAGTACATGACTTCAAAAAGATTCCTTGGAGGGTAGTTGGTTCCAAACAGGAAAACTCAGGATAGAATATCCTGTTGTGACCACAGAACAAGGACATTTCAAGGACTATCAGGACAGTGTTCTAGAGACAAATGAACTGGCCAGAGAGTCCCTTCTGACTAGACAGAAACAATCTGGTTCATCAAAAAAGAAGATATTAATCTTGGTTAAATCTGTGAAAGGCCAGGAGTTCAAAACAATAATCAAGAGAGAATAGTATATAGTGTACAAAAAAGGAAGCTGTAATATTAAAAAGAGATAAAACAGGATACACATAATTATTTGTTTTGATTTTCAAAGGAGGAATATTACTAAAACAAAGGTACTTTGTTTCTTCTATATCTGTTTACAGAGTACAGGTATGAATTTATTTTTATACTACAGGAAAGACTGAAGACCGAGAACTCTGAGTAAGCCAAATAGTCCCAGAAAACAAAGGAAATATCCCATGATAAGGAAGAATGAAGGAGCACAGGTGGTGATAAAAACAGCCAGGTGGAAACAGGGTCCAGCACTGACAGGTACACATAATACTGAGCATAGAAAGAGGTCCCAGAAAGCACTGCAATGATCCATCGGGCAAATAGCCTAGAGAGCACTGGGTAGAATTAATCCTTCATCTCCTAGGGGATGGAAACATCTAGAAAGTCCAGCTAATTTCAAGAAAATATTAAAAAGGGATACATAAGCTTTTAATAATGTTAACAGATCAAGTTAATACATCATTGTGACAGGACAATGGATTATATAACGCTGGCCAAGAGAGATTTACGAAGTCAGTCATTTCAGGGTGATGGGGGAGGGGTGGGTTAGGGACTGAATTGTAAATAAAGACCTACCTGAAAGTCATGTACCTGAAAAAATTTAAAGGCCTGATCAACTTCACAAGAGAATTTCAGCCTACGGCCTATAGCCAGGGTCTGGCTCACTTTGGGAGAAGAGCCCAAAGTAGCTGTCATATTCTGACTGACAACTGATTGATCAGCCACCAGAACTGTAAATCTTGGCAGATTTGAAGGGGTAGTCTCTTGTTTCTGGGATGGTGAGATCACATCAGCTCTGGGTTTATGTCAAAAATAATATAGTAGCCCTAGAAAAAGTCAAAACTTGTGTCTAAACAGTGGTATTCATTTATACTATACAAAATTAAGGTGGGACCAGCAGTTGGCATAATGGCTATGTCACTGGACTCCCATGTAGTCAAGCATGTTTTGAGTCCTGGGCCTAGTGGCTTAAGCTCATGCTGGGCATTTGTGCGTGCGTGCCGAAGATCCCAAGAGGAGAATGGAGGAGAAGGGATTGTGGCATGGCCATCCCCCCTGGGCGGTGATTTCTTGCTTTCTGTCTCTGTCTCTCTCTGTCTTTCTGACAAGCACACTGCTCTATAGCAAAAACCTCTCAAAAAATTAATATATAAATAGTGCTAACTATATAGCAATACATTTTATTTGTTCTATAAGGTATTTGAAGTGTTAAGACAATCAGGTCTATTGAATTTAGTTGTTTAAATTGTTTAAAAGAATTCAATTTTCTAAGTACTGTTTTGACATTTAACAGTTGTTTAATATCTATTATAAGTTTTTAATATATGAACACGCAAAATAGTCTTCTCTGTGCATGAAAACTCTCTAGATGTTAAATTAAAACATCAGTGTAGTAACTAGTTAGCATGGCTTTCACCTCTTGCATAGGTTCCTTTTTAGTGAAGAGGCTTTATAACATTCCAAAAGAAGTCACGAAAGAAAAACATGCCATATACATAGTTTAAGTCCAAGGGGACTAAAATAGCAACAGTGTTTTTCACTTGGGGTTGAGATAGTGGACATTTTAGCTTTTCTTTTTTTTTTTTCCCTAAATTTTCTAATTTTTTTTCCAGAATGAGCATATATAATTTAAAATATATATATAAGAAAAAGATCAACTTTCTTTGTATAAAGAATGATGCCAACCACGACTAAGGTGATTCTGTCTACATTAGGCAACGTTTGAGAATTTCCCAGAGACTGCTGTAATGGGATTCCCTGGAGTCGAAACTGACAAAGGGATCGTTAAGTGGCAGGCAATGAGGCTGGACTCAAAAATCAAATGACAAGGTAAGGGGCAGGCAGTAAAAGCAGGCACAAAGAATAAGCAAGGGTGAGAATCCGGGGGACTTGGTAAACCCACAGCAAGATGACAAGGAACAAGAGCCAAGTTTGGTCAGGGTCAAGAGCTGACTTTGTAGATCAAGTCAGGCCCACGGGCTGGGACAGGAAGAAGGCAGTGCCAGGCAAGCTGAGCTCCTCAGAGGAGCCCTCCCTCCTGGCTCTCCAACCTGACTAATTCTCTACCTGGTAATGACAACTCTCTACTCCAGCACTGTTGCTGTATTCGCCACCAGAATACAAAAGCTGAGGACATGTTTGTCCATTCCCAGCACCACTTCTAACTATTCAGCAAAGGCAAAGCCCCTCCACTTCTTAAAGGATTTGCTTCCCAGCTTGTCTTTTCCGACAGAGCAGGTTATTAGCCTCATCTGAGTGATCGACTATATTCTAAACCAAAGCAGAAAAAAGTTTTGATAGAGAAATTTCTAGATATACTTGAGGTTTCTCAGATTCCTACTAAGGGGCAATGTTAGAATAGTTTAAGACACAGAAAAAGAAAGGAGAATCTCCCAGGGAATTCTTTTTACTCAATTGCTTCAAAGATAAAAGATCTTATGTAAGGTTCGATCTGGTGAATGACATGACCCATCAGGAATCTCCTCCAGGACATGTCCCTGATGAGTAACTGAAAACCGAGAAACTCAGAAAACATCTCACTAACATTTGTACACAAATGGTAACCATAAACCATAAGTTGGAGTTGGTTTCTCTTTTCTTTATTTTTTATTAATTTGCCAGAGTCCAGTTATACTGCAGCAGAGAGACAAAGAGAGACAGAGAGTGAGAGAAGAGGGAGAATAGAAGCAAGAAAGCACCCCCATAGGGAGTAACCACATTGCAATCCCTTTTCCATTCTCTTCTCAGGATTTTGGAGACTCACGCACTGTGCCAGGCATGTTTTTCAACCTGCTGGGCTGAGGACTTGAATCATGCACTAGGTCACATGAGCTAAGGCTCGTGTAACCATCAGACCACAGACTAGGCCAAAGTTGTTTTTTTCTTTAATAAGGTATTCCAACCATTGTTAAAACTGTGGCAAAAGTTCATTTGTAAGCCTTAGTGACTTTCTGCAAATTTCTTTAGAAGAACAGTGGTATCACCAGGAAGGAACTTAACACACCACTTCTTCATAAGCTCTTAGCATGAACCGCCCAGGTGTCCTCATCAGAGAATCAATAGAAGCTTACACAACACACACCATGAGTGTGCTACAGGTTTGGAGATTGCCACCAGGATGCATGGATACGACAAGGGCATTAACTAATGGTGGCTGGCTTGGCAGGTCACAAAACTCATACAACCTGTAGTGTTAAGTGATCATTCTATGCTCAGAAAAGTATTTAATAAAGAATAATGGGCAACACAGTTGAAAAAATGCCTTAAAATAAGCAAGTTTGCACTAGAAGCTTTCAGAAAATTTGTTGGCATAATGATACTCAAGCCACACATGAAAAGACAGGCATAAAAGTAGCTTTTTCCAAGTTGTTCTTAGTTATTAGAATTAAAAACAATTATAGCAAAGGCACCTACACTTGGCCTATATTTCTAGCAACTGTCATCTTTCAAAACAATCTCTTAAGTACTGACTGGGGGGGAAAAGTCAAAATTATATGACATAATCAACATTCTTCCCTTGAAGGCCAGCATTGCAATGAATTATTATGGAAACCTTTCCTTTGGAGAGGAAAAGAGCCAGGAAGAAGTTAATATAAACCTCTAGGCAGAGGACGCTGCCAGGAAAATGACTTCTAGTGATAAAAACACAAGGCAGATGTTCCAGAAGTAATTTAAAATTTAATTAGACGTGAAGTCTCCCAACCATTACCTGTGTGCACACAAGGCAACAGCCATGACTGGATTTTTAAAATCTTGTCTGTAACCATCTAAAAATGCTATTTCTTCCAGGTCAATAAGATAATATTTCTAAATGAACATAATTTCAACATTTCAAAAAATTAAATTGATAATTTGATAATTATTTATATATTTATTATTATAATTATTTGATAAATAATTACTTGAATATATTAAATGTGCTTCGATTTGACTAATTTAAAACAACTTCTTTGTTCTTTATCCTAAGAGTATAACTTCTATTGAAAAGGACAAAAGAAGCTATCCTTATATTGGATCTTCTTCAACTATGATAAGAATTGAATCAAACTGATAATTTTGCGTATTAAAGCTGATCACGTTAGCTATATTTCTTAACTAGATATTAACTCAAAAATTTGGTAGCACATAACTGTTGTATTCCTAGAAGTTTCAGCTTAAATTTTTCCTTGTAATGGGACTTTACAAAACTCATAGCCTGGACTCAGTGGCTTGAGAAACAAACTCATCACTGTGTATATGTGCCTGAAATCTTGAACAGTGGGGAGAGAAGGGATTGTGGTACGATCATTCCCTATGGGGAGGAGAGACTTTTTTCTCTCTCTGGGAAGCACAAGCAAAAAAAAAGAAAAAAAAAAAAAGGAGTTTAGTTGGGGGCAAAAATTTTTGAAATCCATAAAGAATTCTTTCATATGCATTTACCATGAACTTTTTGAATCCTCCCCATATCTTGAAGGCCTTTCATTCATTTCCCAGTTTTTCTAATTTGAGTTAAATTTTTAAAACTACAAAAAATATTTTTCAAGAATTTGTTTTCATGCAAAATTTAAATTTCATAGCAGCATACTGAAAACTACTAAATCTGATAAAGATGTTCTTTGGATTAATAAAATAACCTAATGTCACATTTAAAATAAAAAAATAATTTAAATCTACTTCCTGATGAATCTTAGCTGTATTTTTTCCCTACCTCAGTGCATGAATGCAATATATCATTCTTGGTATGTTTTTCCGATCATAGACATCTGTTGTTTCTGGATAAAATATCTGGAAAACAAAAAGGAACAATATAGTTATTATGTTTTGTTTTTCACAGTTATTTAAACTCCCCCTAAATAATACCATTTTGTCTTTGCTATTCTAAAATTTCTTAGAGAAACTTCTCAGTCATTGCTTTATCGTGCTTTACAGACAGACCAATCCATACTAGCCCTGTCTGATGGCACGCCTCCTAGTGGCCAATAGGAGCATGGCAGAGTTCACAGCAGGCCACTCCCAGAAGGCAGTGTCCACAGTGGGGGGTGGACCTGTTTCACTCCAGAAGATGTGAGCCATGCAGTTCTGTTCCCCAAAGCCCTCTCACTTCTATGATTACCCCCAAGTCCCATGCCCTGACAGGGGTGACCATCTTACAACACTTCATTACACTGTTAAAAACCTGGCTATCAGCTCTGTACATATGTATGCACACATACAGGACACATGTGCACATGGGTGTTTTTATGAAGTAATATGTTTTCATCAAATAAAATCTGGAAAGTAAATAAAATATGAAGGGGAAATACCTATAATTCCACTTCCCAGATCGTCACTATTAGCATTTTAGCATATTTTTTTCTGGTCTTTTTTTTCTGTATATGTCTCTGATTTTTAAGGTCTATCTATGTGTTTGGGTGCAAACAAAATTGTACATAATGTAAACCTGCTTAAAACACTTACTAGAACATGGCTAGTTTCCATTCCTCATCATTATTAAATAAGAACATTATTTCTAATGGATGAATATAATTTTTACAGTTTTGAACCATACCTAGCCCTTCCCTAAAGACATTTGTTTTGTTTTTAATTTTTTTCTTATCATATGCCACTGCAATGAACATGCCTGAGTTTTTTTTTAAGCATCTGATTTCTTTACTTGCATAACAATATAAATGTGGAATTTTGACAGAGAGGTCTGAACAGCAAGGCTTTTAATTCACATTTGCACTATTTTTCTTAAGCTTGAAACTAAAAGACTGATAAGAAACAGATTTCAGAGTGGAGCACATAACTTCTATGTTTCTAAGTATGAAAAAAATAAATAAGAAGGCTTGAAGCTTCTAATTATTAAGGTAAGTATATTGGGATTACTTGCTGTCAGTAAACATTTTATAAAACTTGAGATAAAATCTAAAATGAAATTATGTACCATATGGTAGTAATTGATATTCAAGTTGTTTTCTGTAGGACATTTTAAAAAAGCAGAGGAAAAAAAAAAAAGCGAAGTTTCTTGAGCTACAAATGTACAGTTACTAAGCACTTAAAAAATGTCTGTAAGCCTAAGAGGTTTCCAAGACCTTTCCAACTTTCCTTTTACACATCTGCTGTTAAAGTTTCAGTGAGAAGAGGATTCTCAATTTAGATGAATGTTACCAGTTTTAAAGTGCCACTATGTAAACAAAGAACAACTACAACTCACACCTCACCATATTGGCCATCTCCCACCTCCCCTTCCTTTTCTTTAAACAAGAACCTTTTACATTTATGTTTCTCCTGGAGAATTATGAATGTATATTCCTTGAAAAAGAAGTTGGTATCAATTTATAGCTGACCAGATGTTTTATTCAGCATTGGGCCTCCAATACCAAGCACAATGCCACGCACAAAGTAGACACTTAATAGTGATAAATGAAGGATTTAATGGCACTTGAATACACCAAAGTCAATACAGTACACTGCTAAGCCTTCACCCCTGCAATGCAATGTATTGATGAATTTATAATAAAAACCAATATAAAAATAGAATCTATCATATATGTCATTTGTATGAAATTCGTACGGTTTGATAAGGTTTAAATAATATCAAATGGAATGAAATTCTCTTAATCTGAGGATGCCTCATACATTAAAAATATTCTATCTGAATCTATTTCTTTATTAATATGTTTACTACCAGCACCAGGTAGTACTTCCTAAGTCACAATCCTGAAACTGAATCAACCTGTATACATCCCTCATTCTGAGCTCTTGTCATGTATTCCTCGGCATAGACCTTTTCCACATTTAGTTTAGTTCTCTACATTTCTCATTCCTGCATTAACCAAATCATTTTCCATAAAGAGGTGTGTGTGTGCATTACTCCTTTGCCTTCCCAGTTTGGATCCAGTAGGTGAAGGCTTACCTTGGGTAGACCAATAGATTCCATCGCTCTTAACCACTGGACGGTATTATCCGTGTGTCGAAAATGAAGGCCAGACTTCTATTGTGAGGACAGGAGGCACAATTTAAAAATAAAAAAGAAAAAAGAAAAGGAAAGAAGGGAAATAAGTGAATTAAGTATAATAACTTTTTGCATTAGCAGGATGCTTTTCACTTATACTTTTCCTAGAATAGAGTTGCTACTGCTCACATAAAGTAAATAGAGACATGTTAAAGAGACTAGACCATATTTCGGCAACGTCCCAACCATCTGGGATGGACCATGCCAGTTTCCATAATTCATACATTTGAGGTAATTCCGAACTGGAATCTCAAAGACTATTTATGGTCTAGCACATGTCTACAGATGTTTTATGAGACACCGGTACATTCGAAGTCATGAGGCCTCTCAGCCCTTTTTAACAGTGGTCACTATTTGTGAATGGACTGTTTCAAGTACTTTACATATATATCTCTAATTTTCAAAATACTCTCCAAGGTAATTATCATTCCCATTTTTTAAATATGAGGAAAACTAAACGAACACAGAGAGTGGTTTGCCTAAAATGAAGTAGCTATTAAGTAGCTGAGTTGGAATTCATAACCAAGTCTCTGGATCTGAAAACCTTCCTCATGCTAACACTCCCACAGGGAAGAACATGAGAGTTAGTGATCTTTTAATTACTTCTCATGAAGGAAGAAAATGGCTAGGTGCTATTAAATAGCGAGAGGGAGGGAGAGTGGAAGAAAGGAAAAGAAAAGTAATACAGAGAGAAAGAGAGTGAGCTCTGAGACTTAACAGCAAGGCCATAGTGTTTGAGTATTTGTAACTCAGTCTAAATGTCTTTTCTGTAAAAAATGGAATTAAAATATGAATTTATTTGGGGGAAAAATTTGAAATCCATAAAGCTTTTTTCCAATACATATTTCCCATGTACTTTTTGAAGACCCCTCATGAAACAATTCTCAGGCTGCTCTGACCACAGAGGAATAAGACAGTAACAATCTATAATCAAATCTAAACCAAGACAGAAGTGAGGCCCCTTTGCACCATAAAATAACTGAACGTCCTCCTTTTCAACTAACATGAGCTATTCCAGTTCTTTACTGATGGAATCTAGAAACCACTCAATCTTCCAACCTCCTAGGTGAAAATTACCAAGGCCTCAAGTTGATCCTGTTTCCTGACAATGCACCAAAGCAAACTGGTTCTAACTTCCCTAAATCCTTATTAGAGTCACCTAAAACAAGGCCACATTTATGCTAAGCTCCTTATATCTCTGCCCTGGGACTCCAAGGACATGCATTTTTTCCTGCCCCAACAAGATAAATAAAGCTAACAGTCTGACCACAGGTGGGTTTCTGGGGTGTTTGGCTACTGGGCTTCAATAATCCTAATTCATGTAATGAAGACATTGCTCTATTTAGTAGTCCTGTGAGCTACACAATCTCAATAAAGGTATAAATATCTGAACCTTGCTTCCTCAGCCATAAGATGCTTTTCAGTTATGAAGATTAACTGGAGAATATACAGAAAGCACTTAGTTGTCAAGTGCACCTAAGAACGCCATAAATGTGAGACCAGCAGATGGTGTAATGGTTACGTCATTGGACTCTCATGTAGTCGACAGTGGTTCAAGTCCCAGACCTGGCAGCTTAAAACTCATGCTAGGCATTTGTGAGTACATGTCTAAAATCCTGAAAGGAGAATGGAGGAGAAGTGATTGCAGTGTGGTCATTCCCTATTGGGGGTGATTTGTTACTTTCTGTCTTTCTCCACTTCTCTGGCAAATGCACACACTGTATAGCAAAAATCTCTCTTTTAAAAAAAAGCCAAAAAATGTTCACTATTATAATTATTAGACTGTAAGATTGGGCTTGAAACTCCTCTTCACCTGTAAGGTCAGAAAAAGGTTTAGATCTTCATATAAGATACTGAAGGAAAGATTGGTTCTCTTGATCATATTTCTACAACAGATTAAATGGCAGATTTCAAACCATTTCAAATGCTGATCTTAGAACCCAACAGTTCATGTCTGTGTGTTTAAGAAGTAAGCTTCAGTGAGTGAATTGCTGCTATAACATCTCAAGTCCACTGGATCTGTTTCAGTTAGAACATAAATGGTCTTCTAAACAGGCTCAAAATAATCTTAGACCCTTACAATTATTTTAAACTAGCCCATTTTTTTGGGCAAGTTCTACATATTACTATTAGACAAAGTGTCATGTCTACAATCATACTTAGTAAGGGGTGCAATGGTCTGCCACCTAATTTCTTTCAGGCACTGAACTAGGTATAGTTGTTTTCCATGGCTAAGCTATGTCAACACTAGCAATCAAGGTTCAACTAGTTTCAGTTGTGTAGATGAGTAATTATATGTCTTCTTTGGATGCTAACTCCCTGTATATTATTAGGTTGTCATACAAGTCATGATGAATTTCTATGTTTTTCTATGCAAAAATGTGTCATGACTTTTCCAACAACCCAGTAGAACCAAAGCATCATAGGACTATGAGAAAGCTTAGAAACCAACAAATGTTTTAGTTTTCTTATGTTATAGATGAGGAAACTGTAAGTGCTCGAGTTGACCTGGCTGAGTAGGCTTAGGACTAAGACTTCTTGCAATATCCTAGGAGTATGCCAAGTATTCTATTCACTTCACTGCTCACAGTTCCTCAGAACAACTGCTGTCTCCACAACTGAACACGTATGTCCGTCAGGCACTGTGCCAAGGCTCTTGCATGGAAGATTGCTTTTGTTTCTCACAGTATGTCCACAAAGCTGGATATATTATAATTCCCACTTTCCAGGTGAGAAAACAGTCTGAGAGAGACAAAGTTAATGATGAAGCTAGACTACAGCATTTTAATTCTACAGCTCACACTGCTAAGCACGGTGCTTACGTGTTCCCTGTCCAAGGCTTACTTAAATCTTCAATGAGCACTTACAAGATAGTTATCAAAGCAGGTATCCAAGATTTTATCTCTCTCTCTATCTCTTTAAGCCTTGCCAGGTTAAGTCCCTTCCAAAAAATGTCCTTGACTCTTCCCCTCCTCTCCTTTTTCTTTCCCATCCTGGTCTGCTTGGGAGCACTCACCTATTTTCCCAACCCCACCATGGAAGTTCTCCTTGACTCTCCACCACCCTTCTGGCGCTCTTCAGAGGTCTCTCACTGCTTCTCCTTATGGTCCTCTACAGATTTCCAGTCCCCTTCCAGGATTTCCCCTTTGTTTTCCTCTTGAAGTCACTCATTTCTTTTCACTTATGGATGCAGAAGACCACTGCCACTTGTCACCTGGCCTGCATTATGCCTGCAGTAAACTCCGTCTCCGCCTCTGTCCTCCATCCCATCTATTCCCCACATAGCAGTGACTGATCTTTCTAAAGCACAACAGCATCACCTGCACCATGATGCCTCTGCTTCATGTTTCAATGGCCTCCCTGTGGGCCCTGTATGAGCGTGTGACCTCATCTCTACCACCATCCCTCACACAGTCTTTCAGCCACCCAGTCTCAGCCAAGCTTTCCTTGCTCAAACTTCTCACTAATGAGTTCCCTCTCTCTGAAGTTTTCTTCCCACTCCCACCCCTAATTTTGTACAAGGAAGATTTCCTGCTCATTCTTCCAGCCTCAGAGTAGAGCTGTACTCAGAGGAGCCCGCCCTCTGCTCACAGTTCTAACAACTGCACCACCTCCCACTTCCTCCTTCCTCCACGTATACAGTTGACAACTGCATGGCTGCACAGTCTGGCTCTCCAGCTCTAAGTGCCATGAAATCAGGGCTATGTCTGCCTGGCTTGCCATTCTGCTGCGAGTGCCCACAGCAATGCTTGGTACACAGTAGGTGTTGGTAAGTGGCCCATGGATGAATGGGTCCTACACTGTGCACACTTCTATCATGGTACAGCTTTATCATCTTTCCCT